AAGCCAGCTTCTTCTTCCTGTTTCCTTTTTTTTTTTTTTTTTTTTTTTTTTTTTTTTTTTTTTTTTTTTGCCAAAGGACGTCGATTCCGTTCAGTGAAACTGCATCCTTTCTTCAACTGTTGGAAATTCCATTACGTTGATTAACGATTAGCTACAACATGCAAGGGGGAAACATATATAGATTCATTTAGGAAGAGATTGATAACCTTGGTAACTCTGAAAAAAATATCCAAAAAATGAAGAGAGAAAAAAAAAAAGAAAAACAACGACGTAAAATCACTGAAACCGGATATTCACGGAAACTGTGTGTGACGTTGTCTGTGCGATGGCTCACTCTGCACACTCGTCGTATGCGTAAATCGTGTATAAGTATAAATATATATATATATACACACATATCCCATCGTAATAATTTGCACAATCGAAGGGACTAATTATATAATAATGTGTTGAGTTTATTGTTGTCTTGGGGGGGGGAGAGGGGAGAAATTTCTCGCTAAAAAAAAAATCTCGAAAATTATAATAAACGCGACGTTCAACCCGCGGGAGAGTGTATGTTGCATGTGACAATATTTGTCATTGGACGCCAAAATTTTCCCTAGCCTAATTGTAAGAAGATTGTAAGATTTTGTTGGCCCGTTGTAAAATCCCTTCGTAAAACCTGAATAGCGCGTAGTGACACTTGATTATTAGCGTTATACAAGTACATATATGCGTATACATACAGCGTTATATACGTATAATCACGCATATATATATATATATATATATGTATATATATATATGTGTGTGTGTGTGTGTGTGTGTGAGTGTGTGTATACGTATATAAAGCGTATACAGGGTGAGTCATATAAATTGTTACGCGGCGTAATCTCGAAAAACTTGTGTGAAAAATAAAACTAGCGAAATGTTTGTTTCGTTGTTGTTCGATGTTATTGCATCTGGAGAGTAAAAACGGAATTGTCCAGTTTCACGAATTGCACAACCTTAAGGCAATTGCAAACGACGATGGATAATAAATCACGTACGATTCTCGCGAATTGAGTTACGTAGATTAACATACTTTGTACAGGGTGTCAAGAAAATATATGTCACGACCTTCGTAGATTCTACGCCTCCGGATCGGCGAAGATCTGTTAAAAAAGTCGACCGCAAAATTAACCTTGGCCGGTTTTTTTATGATTGCATCATATAAAAGGAGACACTATTTATAATTTTTTATTTATTATTCATTATTCATCTTTGGAGACACATTTTATTTTCTCGGCGAGTAGATGCAATCATAAAAAAATTTGACCTTAAATAAATCGGCCAAGGTCGACTTTTTTAACAGATCTTCACCGATCCAAAGGCTAGCTATGAAGGTCATGACATATAACTTCTTGATACCCTGTACAAAGTATGTTAATCTACGCAGCTCAATTCGCGAGATTCATTAATTCTTCCTCAAAAAAGATACACTATAAAATTTAATAGTTTTTAATCAGTAAAATTTCATCATCACCGCCATCGAAATTTCGAAATTATTATTGCTCGAAATTTACAAATTTACAAATTCTTGAAGACTTCTTCGCGTGCAGCTATAAACGAGTAAATAAATATTGAATCGACGTTATTAATATTGCCAAATAAATTTAGTAATTTAGTTCAACTTGGAACGTTCCATTTTGGCCCCTTACGAGATCCAATAACATTATTCATAGTTGATCAAGTCTGCGAGTGAAACAGGGCATTGGATGTCGGCGAACTGCTCGCGAAAAAAAGAAAATTATTTCGGATCGGTATCTTTCAAAATCTCTCGACGATTCGTTGGACAATTCGCGAACGAATAGCTCGCACGGCGAATGAGTAAATCTCACACACACCGGCGTGTGTCAAATAGTTTTGAGAGAAACAAATTTGTAACAATTCACATGGTCCATCCTGTGAGTTTTACACAGTCCAAGGCGGAATTTTTCATTTTACCACTGTCCTTTCTCCAAGATTTACACGTAAAAAAAAAAAAAAACAATAATCAATACTGTCTAAAACACCAAGGTTATTACACTTAAGTATTGCAACATTAGGCCATATACACAATATACGACCTAAATATTAGTTGGAAATGCAGGGGTACATGCTGGGCGTTGACACTTTGCACTCGGAGAGAAATACAGCTCCAGCAACGTATCTTTTTCTTTCTTTTTTTTCTATCTTTTTACACAACGTCCACGAAACAATGATTTCGAACACGAGTAATATCCGTATTACCAAACGCGTAGTACAAAGAAAAAAAAAAGCAGAAAAGAAAGAAAGAAAAAAAACACGCACGGCAGTCGGAAAAAAAAGGCAATCTGCTGATTTCCAAATTTAACTACGGCTTCGAGGTAGCGATACATCTGTCTACGTCTAAAGCGATCGACATTTTTTCACTTGTGTACAGTGAAAAAGATCGTCATCGTGCCGAACATTCTCAAACGAAACTCGAGTAACGAGGAATCGAAATCAACTTCGAGGAACGCGGATATTACTGCATACTATATTTTATATCGGCCGTTCAGATTTCACCGAATAGAATCTCTTCTCTTTCGAATCTCGAAACTCGCTCGTTCCTCGTCGTTCGTGAAAAACTACGAGGAAAGCTACGTAAAGCCGTATTTGTCCCAAGTGCGGTCAAGTAAACAAACAAGCTAACACCAGTTACTGAGGGTGGGGAGGTGGGGTGGGGTGTGAGTCTGAGATGGTAATTGGACTAGCTGATTGACTGCTGACAGTGTCGGCGGACAAAGGGTTAAGGGAAACTGTGTTATCAAAGGACTGGTGGAAGCACGGTTGCATGAAACGTTCGCTGACAGCTAAGTTCGTAGAGCAGGTACTGAACTGCAACTCTCTGCGATTCTAAAAAATCACTGTCTCTAAAACTGTGTATAATATAATGCGTATCTATATATTCACTCGCTCGTAAATTATATATATATATGTATATGTGTGTATATATATATATACATATACATATACATATCGTAAATTATATATATATATATATATGTATATGTAAATTATAAATATATATATATATAAATTATATATCGTAAATTATATATAGATTATAAATTATATATTGTCGTAAATTATATATATATATATGTATATGTAAATTATAAATATATATATATATAAATTATATATATATATATATTATAAATTATATATTATCGTAAATTATATATATTATATTATAAATTATATATATCGTAAATTATATATATAAATTATATAAATTATATATCGTAAATTATACATATATATATATATATACACATATATGTATCGTATCAATATATAGATACGCGTATTTTACGATGCACTTCTATACGTGTGTATGCAACGCGCGTGCTCGTGCCCACGCGTACGTGTACGTATGTATATCGTGTTTTCACACGTGTGTGTGTGTGTGTGTGTGTGTGTATGAGTGGAGTGAAATATCAGACATTAACGGGCAATCCAAGGAATTCTTTCTTTCTCAGGCTTGTCAAGGTGGACAGAAGAAAGAGAGAGAGAGAGAGAGAGAGAGAGAGAGAGATAGAGAGAAACAGAGAGAGAAAAAAAAAGAAAAAAAAAAGAAAGAAAGTACAGTGTACCATTATTCCGTGTATCCGTGACAATAGAAAAAACATATCAAGGGGTCGTGTAGGGAGACTTGACATCGATAGGCAAAGTTGTGTTTTTCGTGTGTGTTTCAATTACATAAGGATAATGTCCATGGTGCATACGGACAGAAAAAACATAATATGACATATCTCACACGATGTCGTGCTGGAGGCAGGGGGAGAGGGGGGGGGCAGTCAGGAGGAAGAGTCAGACGTGTACATCATATACAAGAAGTTGGGGGGGGGGGGAAGGGGGAGAGGTGTGTGTGTGAGCAGTTTTGGATGGTAATTAGGACTGCGAAAGGTGACTCAACTCGGGAAAGCTAGTTGGTTGGCTGTGTCTCTCACCTGCGACCTCGCTCGTTCTTCAAAGTGCCGCCATACTTGTTTCGCGTCCCGATCAGGTCAATTATCTCGGGGATACAACTGGCGAATATGGCCTACACCACGTGATAGAACAGAACACAACACTCGCATCAATACACTTGTGTGACAAGGGTGGCAAATTTTTTTTTTGTTTGTTTGTTTGTTTGTTTCTGTGTTTTCTCTTTTCTTTT